GTGGATATGGAATTAAGTATGTTGTGACAATCGCAATGGCTTGGCTCGATTCTGTTTTTTTTTTAAGGTTATTGTAATATATGGTCTGAGACTTTGAAGGTTAATCCGCAACTAACCCCCAAATACAAAAAACAATTGACTTGTTTGACGACGAATCCAAAAAGGATTTGACAGAATTGATCGTTTATAGCCTTTACACGGATTTTTTCTTGAGATTTATTTGAGATCATATGGCTTTTGATCCAGTCGCATCCCCAGTCCAAAAAATTATAATAAATACTATTCACGCTCAATGCTTTAGTGTTATCGCTTGAAATAAAATGAAATGTAAACGATATTTTCTATCTCTTTTCGTACTAACCCCATGCAATGATTTATGATATTTTTTTGGGGGTAATAAAGCCATCAAAATTCACAACTGAACAAACCCTTAACTAGGGACCACATGAGATGATAACATTAAAATTGTTTTATTTTAATGTTTTTCTTTTATAGTATGTTGCCACTTGCCAGTCCACAGTATTTAATTCTTCCACCATTAAGTTTAGGAATTTTCTTGCATATATAGGTTTCTTTGTCATATCCAGCTCGTCACAATGTACCATGCACGACCTTCGACCTTCGGCATACCTTAATCATAGTATCATACTATCTATACAATTTTTTTTTTTTTGTTGCTAACAACTATCTCTACAGATGATAAATATATGTCCCTATATATAATAAATTATATAAACTGTAGTCAAAGTTAAGATATATATATATATATATTTTTTTTTTGTTTTTCTTTTTTTACCAAAAGTTAAGACATATATTTGCTACTTTATTATACTATAAGTTAAATGAATCCTTCGAGAGTTTCTTAAGTTAAATATTAGAAAGGCTCTAAAGATTGAAGAAAATCTTCTGTTTTTTGTAATTGCATAGAACCCTTGGAGGAGAAGATGGAATAGTGGGCTTCGAATGTTTGCATAGGCATATCTTCCCTTCTTTCTGTTTGACTAAACCCATCTCAAACATTCAAAATAAAAATTTTTAAATTTCAAAAATGAATATAACAACGAAAAAGGGAATAGAAACGGAAAAACCATTTTTAAAACTGATTTGATTATACATCGTCAAAATCATACCAGGCATAAAGAAACCAGTTTCCTAAAAACTAAATATTCTAAAAATCTTGGGCGTTTCAGTTTTAGTTACATACTTACATCGCTGAAAAAAATAAATCAACGAAAAATTGTCGGAAAGATAATAATCAACCAAAAATTAACAATTTATTTGACTTGGCGCCCGCTTAAAAATGTAATTGATTTATAAGGTGTCATTTGGTTAGATGAGGTTATATTATGGTTAGTTGGTTAGCTGGTTATACTTATACATATAATATAATGAATGGAAGTGTACAGTTACATTTTATTAATCAATGAACAATATATATCTCTTTCGCTCAGCTTCCCCTCTTGACCATCTTCATTATTTACCTTCATATATTTTGTTGATCAAGAACATGTTATGATCTAAGGAAGAACTATTTCTCACTTCCGCATTTTTCTCTTCAATATATTATGGTTGATTTCTTAACAAAATTTATACTTTCAATTTGTAATTCATCATACTCGTCAATTTATCTACGTTCAATAAAGAAATACTGTTTTCCATTGATTCATGAAGAAAAAGAATTTTGATTTTTAATTCCGACTTATATTTTATGTTGGTCAACTTATATTGTACTTTGGTCGAACTATTTACAAACATTAGACTCTTATTTAATACATCAGACTTATAGAAATTGTTGACTCTTATATCATCATGATGGTCTACTTATATATATATATATATATTTTTTTTTTTTTTTAATTTATTCAACTTATTTACCAACCTTATACTTTTTTTTGCTTACTTATGATAAACTTATTTAACACAATCGAGTTATTTTCAATTTTTTACTATAGAGATTAATTTTTGGATCATTATATTTCTGTCAAAACTACAGAAATATGTTATGATGATGATGAAGAGAATATTAAGTCTATATATAACTATATTTTAATGTTATTTTTACTTTAACTATTTAATAATTCAAACAATTATTTTTACTTTTTACTATTATTTTTGATGATAGAAATGCCATTAAAAGAAAACGACATTTCAAATTTGCAAGAGATTAATTTAAATCTGAAATTGCATTATGTTTAGGATATTAAATCTAATAATCTCTAAATAATATGCTTGGCGGTAACTTAAAGCGCTTGGAGAACTAAAATACATCTTTTTCAAGAAAAACATATTTGTTGTCCGTACTAATAACTTTTATTATGGCACATAGATGCTTGCTAGCTAGGGTTAGGTGGAGATGCAACAACAACATATTAAATGATACGAAAGAAGACTAACCAAACACTTCACTAATCAATCTACACGTTTCTAGCTCTAATAAGGAAATTATTTAGAATGTCAATATGCTTACTGCTGATCATATATCTTTCATATATCATCATAATCCAATTCTACCATATATTAGATAGTAATTCATGTCATGTACGGATATACCTTGATAATCCACGTGACCATGTATATAATATACGTCTACAATTTTTTCGTCATAGGAAATAGGTTTTGAGATAAAAGATATTGACTTCGATCGATTGGTTACAGTCTTACAGATGTAAATACGAAATAAGAGATGTATAATTTAAGACATATATATTTACAATTGTTTAGACAATAAACAAAAAAAGAAGAATACAAAGCTGCAGAAATGGATCCAGTGAGCACTTTTAAAACTTATAAAATGGAAATGTAGGTGCCACATCAAGTATTGAATTAATGATTACGGATACTAAATAGCTTGGTCTATATACACTAATGCGAGATAATACCTCCGTTCGGGTTATCAATCCGACCAATACAACATGAACAAACATACCAAAATAACTTAGTCTAGTGATTTATAGCTTTATACTAATATTGTTGTTACGTTATTATTTTGATTCGAATCCGATATTATGTATTGACAAAAACATGCACAAACATTTATGATCGATGCAAATATATTTGGATCAAAGAATTCTAACGATGTATATTTTTATTTTAATGATTAAACATAGGTTATGAACATACTACATACCCCATGTTCTTGAATTTGAATAGAAATGGAAGTATGCGTGCCTTTCACAAGACATGAAAACCAAGAAACATATAGTATGAGGTATCCTTAATTTTCGTGAAAAACAATATCATTAGTTATTAACGGTTAGTCGTTTCTTATAAGTTAGATGCATTCTTGTAAATGAATTCATCTAATCCAAAAGCCAATTGTGATAGACGGACAGTAGACCCAGTAGAATCCAAATTGTTTATCCTTCTCTAGACCACTTGTGAACCAAATAATTTTGTTTATATATTTCGGTATTCATAAATAAAGACAAATGATTATTTACCAATTAAAAATTCCATATATTCATTATTGTTTTATCTTTTTATCTTTTCGCCCCAATGAAATAACTTTTGGGCCCGTTGTACATTGTTCGGCACATGTCGTTCTCGCCTTCAAAACCAAGTCTTCCCGTTCGTGATGATAGCCATTAGCCAATGTTTCCGTAACACGTACACGTATAGTATCGATGCGACTTGCCAATGTATATACAACACGTGTGGATTATTGAAAAGATTAAGATAAGTGTCACATAAGTACTATTCTAGGAAAAAGAGTTAGAAAAAAAAACTATACAAGGAAATATATCCATGGCATTTGTATCATTTTACCGAAAAAATACTCTTTCTTTTACTAAATTTAGCGTTTAGAATATATAAATTAATGAGAAATGATATGAAAGGTTCCACATTACTTTACTTATATGATATATCAAACATTTACAGTTTCAACGATATGAATATGTAGATATATCTATATTTATATCATAAAACCCTATAATGTTCTTAGCTGGTTTTTCCTAGTATGTTTTTTTATCACCATCTCCATTTATCATCGAATCTTTATTTGTGAAAACTTGATCAATATGTTCTAAAAAACAGTAAAAATAGTCGTAGAAATGGCGTCTACACGTTAGATTCTGATATAATATGGACTTTATCTTCTAAAACGTTCGAATTATGTATTTTTGTTTGACTAACTCATAAGTTTAGAATTATGTCGATTTTTAGTTCTTGAATTTTATTTTTGTAAATGAATATTAATAGTTCAAACTGTATAAATTCAAAGTTATTAGATTATTTTAATTTGTTTGATTAGACTGAAACTGGTTTGGTGATTACCATTTGCTGAGATCTAATATGGTCAACAATTTGTTGTAAGTCATATTAACTCTCGTTTGAACATCGAATTTCTGTTTAATACTTGAAAAGTATGAACTTTACTATCTATGGATCTTGCTATCTTATATGCTATTCTATATTTGTTTTTGTTTTACAGCTATCTTAAAATGTTTTTATAAACGTCTAAGATATCTAAAATAGCATACTGTATATTTTAAATAGGCATTCGAAGATGTTGATTTACGGTTCGCTTAGTTTTTGACGTCTTGGGTTTTAAATTGGAGGAGTGTTTTGTGCTTCCTTGAATAGTAACCAATTAAATACCAAGTAATAGAAAATATATTTTGGTAACAGTTTTGGAAATAACGGAAATAATCTTATAAAATAAAATAATTTACTTTTTTACTTATTTATATTTGTGTTTTATTTTTCATTTTATAAATATTTGTTGATTGGCAAATGTTTGTCAAAATCGTGTTTTAAGAAGACAATTCCACAATTTCACAATTAGCCAAACTCTCTTATTTATTTTCTGTGGATTTTACTATTGCATGGATAAAGTAAGAACGTTACTCCGAACCGAAATCACAGAAGTAACGTGAACAAAGAAGGTTAAAAAAACAAACAAATGTTATTTCCCTTTTTGGGGCCCACCATAGAATGCATCTCCTCATCTCTATAGGCTTTTCCCATAATCCCATCCTCTCTCTGACTCTCTCTTTCTCTTTCTCTTTCTCTTTCTCAAGCTCTCTCTCTCTCTCTTCCTCGCTCACACCCAGCGACTCTCTCTCTCTCTTCTCCGGTTTCTCCGTTCGCCGGGACTTTTCCGAAGAGGGAGAGAGAAAATAAAACCGATTCACTCTTCTTTGCTCGACGATTAGCTTCCCTTATTGGGTAAGCCTTTCTTTCTTGTACTCTTGTCTTTTCTCTTCTCCTTTTTACCCCCCGATCTCTCTCTCTCTCTGTCCAATCTTATTTTTCTCTGTTTCTTTTCGAACCCAGAATTTTTTTTTTCCCTGACTTTTTTTTGTCCTTTTCTTGACATCGCAGGATTTGAAGATTTTTTGAGTGGTTATTTATGGTAATGTGGGTTTGATTAGCTCGCTAAAGCTCTTCGCTCATGGATTCTTCTCTCGATGGTATTTTACTTTTCGATTCTGGGTTTCATTGGTTGCTTAAGATTTATCGAAATCCGTGTATCTTTGTTTCTCCCCATACATAATGTTCAAATTTCTTGGTTTATTTTAACTTATATTTACTCTCTCTTTTTTTAGCTGATGATGCAGCTTTGGATGCCGATTTGGATTGTTCAAATTTGTGTTTATTTTATTCAGTTTATTTGAAAGTAGGAAACTTTTTTGTTTTTCCTCTTGATTATGACTCTAGTATGCTTTTAACTAATTGGCTACTGATCTATTGATTACTGGGTTCTTAATATATTTCATCAAATTAGCTCCTTTTTCCGATTTCTATTGGAAGTTTTTTATGTTTCTCATTTGTGATTCTGATGGTGGGTTCTTCACTTTTCTCGTTTATTGGTTCTATATTTTGTGTTTTTTTCCACTATCATTGGTTGATAAATTGATTATTTTTTTTCTAATTTAAACGTGCGTCAAAAGACTAAATGACTTTCGTTCTGTAAAGGAATAAGATTCCATGAGATGTCACTACTGTAACTTATTGATGAATGTAGGTTCTAATTCCTAAAAGATTCATCCTTTGATAGCTATTCCTTCGTTGCTTTGGATCTTTTGGTCCTTAGCATTCTTAAGAACATGTTGTTTGGTTTCTCTCTGACTCCTTGGTGTCCCTCGAGCCGCGTTTTGGTTGATCCGACCTCAACATGTAGTTTGTTTTTAAATGAATGATCTTCTTAAGTTTACAAACTTCCAAATTAGCTTTTGTAGTTGCATTTACATTGGATTTGGGATCATTCTTCTCAATTTGGGAATATAAGTTTGCTTAAAGTATCAACCTTTGTGTAAGCTCAGATACAAGCTTCTAAGGAAGATTCCTGGATAGTTTGTGTATTTCTGGTTATGACATTGGTCTCCATTGCCTTCACTTTAAGCCAAAATTGTAATTTTCACATCCTTTTCCTCTACATACAGGAGCTGCAGGTGACTCGTCGAAATGCAGTGGAATGAGTGTTGATGAGAAGAGACAGCTTGTTTATGAACTGTCCAAGGAATCGCATTTAGCTTCTGAAGTCTTGCAGGCATGGAGCCGCCAAGAGATTCTACAGATCTTATGCGCAGAAATGGGAAAAGAAAGAAAATATACTGGCTTGACCAAAGTCAAGATCATCGAGACCCTTTTGAAAATTGTATCCGAGAAAAACTCTGGAGAGAATGAAGGGAAGAAGAGAGATTCTGATTGTTTGCCTATTCAGAGAAACACAAAGAGACAAAGGAAGGTTGATAATCCTACTCGTTATGTGGTTCCAACAAGCAACAATGCCTCAGCGAGTTGCAACTCGGTTAATACTAAAGGTAAAAGTCTTCTTCTTCTTTTCCCGGTTCAAAGTTATCAACTTTTTGGTGCAAACTAACATGTAAATAGAATTTGGTCAGGTGAGGAGAAAACTATCTACTGTAACAATTTGGCTTGCCGGGCCATAATGAGACGGGAATACTCGTTTTGCAGAAGGTGTTCTTGTTGCATCTGTCGCAAGTATGATGATAACAAAGATCCTAGTCTTTGGTTGACATGCAGCTCAGATCCTCCATATGAGGGTGATTCTTGCGGATTCTCGTGTCATCTTGAATGTGCTTTCAAGAGTGAAAAATCCGGTCTTGCAAAAGACAAGCAGAGCGAGGGATGCTGCTTCTACTGTGTCTCTTGCGGTAAACCAAACAGCTTGCTTGAATGTTGGAAGAAGCAATTGACGATCGCTAAAGAAACCAGAAGGGTAGATGAACTTTGTTACCGTCTTTTCTTACTCCAGAAACTTCCAAAGGGCTCGACTAAATACCAAAACCTGCGTGAGCTTGTGGATGAAGCTGTGAAGAGTCTTGAAGCTGATGTGGGTCCTCTCACTGGTCTCCCTATGAAAATGGGTAGGGGAATTGTGAACAGACTTCAATCGGGACCCGAAGTGCAGAAACTTTGCTCTTCTGCTCTTGAATCTCTTGAAACTTTAGAAACTACACCTCCTGAAGTTGCTGCATTGCCTTCACCTCGCTGCTCCAAGATGCAGCACGGTCAGCTTTCTAATACCCAAATGATTCTATTCTTGAGTAATGTTCTTAAGTATGATCAATAACGGTGATTCTCTGTTTTTGTTTGCTAGATTGTTCTTACGGATTGAGCAACGAGATATCTGCAGATACAGCAACCACAGTATCAACCAAGATCAGATTCGAGGATGTTAACGCGACTTCGCTCACAGTGGTTCTCGCCTCTAATGAAGTCGGCTCACCTGCAAACATCGTTCATTACAGTATTTGGCATCGTAAGGTCACTGAGAAAGATTACCCCGAGAAATCTACTTGCACATTGTTTACTCCAAACACAAGATTTGTTGTCTCTGGATTAGCTCCAGCTTCAGAGTATTGCTTCAAAGTTGTGTCCTTTAGCGGAACCAGAGAAGTGAGCGTGGACGAAATCAATGTTTTGACGCGTAGTAGCCCTGAAGAAGGAGCGAATTGCTCTTCGGTAGTAGAAAGAAGCGAAAGCCCTCTCACAAACTGCAGCACATTGTCTTCGAACCCTTCTTCTGTTGAAGCTGAATCCAACAACGGTTACATTGTTCCTCAGAACGTATCGCAGAACGACAAAAAAGATTCTTCTTTGACTGATGAAAACGCTGCAAAAAGAGGGAAGAGGACAACTGAATCAGAGACTGCACAGATTGAGAAAAACGCTGAACAGATTGTGTTGTTGGATGAGGAAGAAGAAGAAGCTGTTCCGGATAAGAACGGGAAAACTCCAGTCCCTGTTACTACGACAAATCTTGTCAGTAACCGAAACAGTTCAGATGCGAGCTTGCCCATTACTCCCTTCAGGTCAGACCAAACCAAGAACCGTCAAGCGAGAAACGGGAAATCGGTTAAAGAAAACGGTAATAATAACGGCGATCATCATTCAGCAAACGGAGGATCAGAGAGTGGATTAGAGCATTGTGTGAAGATTATAAGACAGCTTGAGTGTTCAGGACACATAGAAAAGGATTTCAGACAGAAGTTTCTGACTTGGTATAGCTTAAGAGCGACGCCACAAGAGATTAGAGTTGTGAAGATATTCATCGACACGTTTACTGATGATCCCGTGGCTTTAGCTGAGCAGCTCATTCATACTTTCAACGACCGCGTTTCGGTCAAGCGTTCTGCGATTGGCGGCGGTGCGTCTGCGGTTGTTCAGTCTGGATTCTGTATGAAGTTGTGGCATTAGGAGATGGAGATTTGGGTTTTATCGGGTTTAATTTATTAAGTTCTTTAATTAGCTTCTCTCTGGTCTTTCTGAAACCATTTTCAAAACTTTATTTATCATTATTGGGAAATTTGCATTATTGGAACATTTCCATGCAAGAACAATACTGTTGGTATCGAATAGATTGTAGCTTATCTTCCGTTTTGGTTTTGTTTGGTCGGAATTATTATTTTATTTGATTTAATTCCAATTATAAATACTACTACTAGGCATTATTTCGTTGTCTTATTAATAATATTCATGATATAACGAGTAAAAATGAAGATTTGCGTTATTATAAGATTCATCTGCTTAAACGTTAAATTTTTGTGTTCCAACGTCGTTACTGTAAAATTAATACACTTTTTAACTCCTCTGCAATCGATGGAACTCCTTAACAATAATTTCATATATAAAAAAAAAATGTAAATGCGATAATTTTATTTGGAAACTGCAATGACAAATGCAACAAACTAACGCATCATCGTCATCGATTATCGTCGTCATCCTCATAACCAATTGACCTATTTTATCAATTATCGTCATCAACTGTCGTCATCAACAAATTATCCTCAAACCGCTTTCTATTTTTACCCGAATTAACAGTACCCATTAACCTTTGTTTTAGTAAAAAAGCTTCAAAATTACAATCACACCAACATAGGGCTTAAAGTGTTATAACACTTTGACCGCAGCCCTTTTTAGATATCTATGATGTAGAAACAGAGGATAAGTCGTTTGTACTTAACATGTTCGACCAAAAAAAAAAAAAAGTCGTTTGTTCCTACTAAAATTTCTGCTAAATATCAAATTATAGCCTGGATGAAAACATTCTCTACAATTCAAGAGGGACTAAAATAAATAAATATTTAAATAAATTGTGAACCGATCATTATTCCTACAAGACAAAGAAATACTCACTACGGAGACGTACCAAATACATGAACCGATCATTATTCCTACAAGACAAAGTTCAAGGTTATGTTCAGCTATGGGGCTTGTGGAAGAATCATACGGGATACATATTCGGTGACTTGCTTTACAAGATTCCTTATGTTCATCAAGAATTTAATTGGGGAATTATAGTTTTTCAGGAGATGTGAAAAGAAGTGATTTAAGCCTAGTTATGGGCTTGGTAATTAGTGCGATAGTTTATATCGAACCATTACTCTTAGGAGACTTTTATCTTAGAAACACGTAATGCGCGCCATTAGGAGAGAAATGTATGAAACTCTTATTCTTTTCCCCTTTATTATATAGGTTGTTGGTCTTCGCGAGTGGATCACATGCTGATATTTGTTACGCCCTCGTTTATGATACGCCCTCGTTTATGATACGCCCTCGTTTCCGTTAATGAAAACAACCATATTTGTATTTTAAAATGTCTTATCCTTTGTTTACTTCATTAGCCCGTATACAAGACATTGGGCGTCTAGTCTCATTTAGATACACTAATGGCTCGATGGGCCTTATTCTTTTACAAAACCGGATTACCCGTTTCTTGGTTGGGTTGAGGAGATACATAACTCCAAATAATTTATTGGAATTTAGTACCTACGATCAGTTGCATTAACTTAATAATAGTTAACTAGATTTTTTTATTTTCATAAATTACGTTCTTAAGATATGGTATAAACGGTATTTTTCATATTTTACTATTAAAAACAAATCTAAGAAATATGGTTCAACTCATAAAATAAAATAAATCAGATGAAATAAAATAAAACAGATTTTGAGAAACCTAGCAAACGTCTAGCCTTAGAAGAAGGATATATAAATAAAGAAGGCCAAGATTTAGGGGGGAAATAATACTTTAAAAAATGACTTAAAAAAAAAAAAACAAGAGGAAGGACAAGGAAGCAACGTAACATTCGAACTTTAATTTACCAGTGAGCCAAAAAAAAAGTAATATTACCATTTTTGCTACAGAAAGTTAGTTTTGGTTAGTGAAAAAAAAAATCAATTCGTGATTAGACTCCCAAACTAGCTAAATCCGCTGATTCTAAGTTTCAAACATGTTGCCATACTATGAATGGAAATGTACATATAATGTTTATGTTTACCAGATTAATTATGGGATAGAAAAGAAACAGCACATGATGGCGAAAGAAAAAGAGAAGAAGAAAGCTGGTCCATTGAATGTTAGGAAAATGGACAAAGGCATGTTAGAATTATTCTTCTCTTAGAAACCTTTGAAAAGTATTTGTCATTATAATCTCAACCCATATATTATAAAAAAGTTGCAAAAAGCAGGAAGCGGACACAAAATGACCATGTCTGGTTATAATCAAAGAATCCAACCTCAAAACATTTTTCTAAGCATGCTCCACATTCCACAATTCTTTTTTTTTTTAAGTGCCAGTAAAAATCTCTATGAACATTTTTATGATTGATTCTATTAAGAAAAGTTGTGTTTATTTTGAAAGTTTGAAAGAAACTTGAAACGAAAAACGAAAAGAATTCAACTTTTATTATTGCATTTCAAAAACTTATCAAATACAGAGTTTTAGAATCTATTTATAGATAGAGTCTTTGATGACATACATAAAACTTAGAGAGCTAGTCGACAAAAGGATTCACGCGTCACACATCCAACGTTAAAGGATCAAATCGGTTGGATATCTGGATTGACGTAGCTGGCGTCTCCGTACTATTGACTGCTTTTGACCAGAGAGTATCTTTATCATCATTGTTACCGTTGCAGACTTGTTTTTGGAGGAGAAGAGCTTGACTGTGGGCTTCGGACTGATTGTGGGCTTCGTCTTGTATTTGAGGCCCATCTGTCGAAGACTCTGATGAAGCCAGCAGTTTATCTGTTTGGTTAATACACCCCCTCAAACTTGGTGTGGGAGGCAAATCAACGCCAAGTTTGAATCTTAAGTCAGAGAATGGTTCTTGAGCAAGAGACTTGGTGAACACATCTGCAAGCTGTTGATGACGAGGACCGTGTTTTACCACAAGAGCTCCATGAGCTACCCTTTCTCGCACATAATGGAAGTCAACATCAAAGTGTTTAGACCTCGAATGCAGAGCAGGATTAGCGGTCAAGTAGACAGCAGAAAGATTATCACAGTATAGCTCCGGAGTAACAGGTTGAGGATGACCAATAGCATCAAGCAAAGAACTAATCCATTTGAGTTCAGTGGCAGCGATGGACATGGTTCTGTATTCCGCTTCAGTCGAGGATCTAGAGATAGTAGGATGTCTTTTTGCAGACCAGGAAATGATGTTGGAACCTAGAAACGTACAGAGGCCACCTGTAGATCGTCTTGTCTCTTTGCAGTTGGCCCAGTCACTGTCACTGTAGGCTCTAAGAGTTGGGTCTGTATCAGTATTCAAGTTTATACCCATCTGAAACGTGCCTTTGAGATATCTCAGAACTCGTTTGAGAAGACCAAAATCAGCAACAGTTAGCTGATGCATCTTTTGACACACTAGATTCACAGCAAACTGTATATCAGGTCTCGTTAGAGTCAAGTACTGAAGTTTACCCGCGAGGCTTCTGAAGTAAGTTGGGTCAGAAAACAGCTTGTCTTGACCAGGTACTTTATCAAGTTGTAGAGGTAAGGGGGTTGGCATAGGGGCACAGTCTTCCATTCCTGCAGTCACAAGGAGATCTAAAGTATACTTTTCCTGACAGAGAAACAACCCTGTATCATGGAAGTGCGCCTGAATACCCAAGAAGTAGTGCAGCTTCCCCATATCTTTCATGCGAAACTCTTTATTCAGAGTTTCCAAGAACTGTTGAAGTAATATAATGTTATTCCCAGTCAAAACCATGTCATCAACATAGAGCAAAAGCAACATAACATCCTTGCCTTTGGTATATACAAACAGAGAGGGATCAGGAATGCTGCACACGAAGCTTAAACCAATCAAATAAGTACTGAACTTATCAAACCAGGCGCGGGGAGCTTGCTTAAGACCATAAATTGCTTTCTTGAGCTTGCAGACGTGGTCAGGCTTGTCTGAGTCCTCAAATCCAGGAGGTTGTTTCATGTACACTATTTCTTTGAGATCTCCGTGCAAAAATGCATTTTGCACATCTAGTTGTTTTATTTCCTATCTTTGAGTGACTGCAACGTGTAGAACTGATCGAACAGTAGCTGTTCGGACCACAGGACTGAATGTTTCTAAGTAATCTATGCCTTCTTCCTGATCATAGCCCTTGGCAACCAGACGTGCCTTCAATCTATCAAGAGTACCATCTGCTTTCAGTTTTGTCTTATAGATCCACCTGCAACCAAGTATATTCTCAGCGGTTTCTGGAGGGACCAAGTCCCATGTGTTGGTCTCTTTGAGAGTACCATGTTCAACGCCCATTGCTTCAGTCCACAAAGGATCTTTGAGAGCAGATTTGACAGTCTTGGGCTCTGGATATCTAGTCTTTGAAGTGAACAGAATATACCTGGGATTTGGCTTAACAATCCCATCTTTAGCTCGTGTAATCATTGAATGACCATATATGAGGGTGATGAACAGGAGTCTCTATGATTGTCCTGGATTTGTCTGAAGAACAGGTGTCAGGTGAATCAAAAGCTTGTGAGGATACGGATGGTGTAACACTAGGTGATTTCGAAGATCTTGAAGAATTTCCAGATGAGCCTGACCTTCCAGATACAGGTGAACAGCTGTTGCCAATAGGATCGGAATCTAAGTCTGCCGTACACTCAGAACTGTTCTCTGCAGTGGAAGTAGGCATCAAGGGAAGAGGTAAAATGTGAGCATCCGATCTTGGAAGGGTAATGTCATCATCAGACTGAACTGTCGAAGACTCTGGTGACACTGACACGTCCTCTGCATCAGCAGAACGCCATGAGGAGATATGAACTGAAGTGCGAGACTGAAACTCCTTATACTTGTCAGTAAAAGGGAAAGACAATTCATCAAAGAGCACATGTCGACTGATGAAGACTTTGCCTGTAGGAGGATAGAGACATCTATACCCTTTATACTTTTCATTGTAACCAAGGAAAACACATTGAAGTGACTTAGGATCAAACTTGTGTTTGGCATAAGGCTTTAAATAAGGATAACAGGAGCATCCAAAAACTCTGAGAGACTGTACACAGGAGGTTTTCCATGTAACAACTCAAAAGGACTCTCTTTACCACCGTGAGCTGCAGAAGGTAGTAAGTTGCTCAGAAAACTCGAAGTAAAGAACGCCTCAAC